CAATAGAAAAACGAAAACGAAAGAAAGATATGTATAACTATCCTGATAGTAAAACACGAAGATAGATTTTGAATATGGCTATCAATTTTTGGTTGCAGAAAGACAACAAATTGTACACAGAATTTGTATTATCTGACATGATCAACAAATTACTGTCAGAAATATGACAAAGACATGCTATGCCAGCAGATTAGTAACCGAACAAAGTCCTGCATAATCTGACAGCAGATTGAGAACAGATTGAGAACCTGATTCGAGCAAATTCTGCTCGATTTCTGCCATCAATCTACTGGCATAGCCTGTCAGCAGGTTTTGTCGACAAATCCATAGCTAAATGAGGACACAGATGGTCATGATTTTATCCTTTTGACTCCAAATTGCTAACGTTTTCAGAAGATAATTATTTGATTTTATAATTCCTATTTTAAATCCTTTTTTGGATTTAATCCTTTTTAATCTTTAATCTTTAGATATTAATAATATTAGATATTAGACTTTTTTAATATCTAACAAATTTTAATTATCCCGCTAAATTTTTTATAAAAAATTAATTTTCGAAATATTGTTTTAAACATTGTTAACATTGTTATTTGTTACATTGTAACTAGTTATATCTTTGTATCTTATTTAGAAATAGGTATCGCAAAATGAGAAGAAATCTAATTTGATCAAAACAGAAACAAGTTAAATTAAATTTCTCTTCTTTCATCTTCTCTCTTTGTCTTTTTCTCTCTCTATTTCTCTCTTATTTATTGTGTTCTAACTTTGCTAGTCCAAGTAACGAAAGCTTTTACTTACGTCGAGAATCGCGATCAAGAATTTCATGGGAAGTCTGCAATCTCCATCGTCGCAGTTTGAAGAGCGCATGACTGGCAAGGGTGTTAGGCGCTTCCTCGCTTGTGAACCTCGACATGCCGGGTTATAGGGTTCTTGCCTGCAAGTAATGCGATCTTGTTTATATCCACGATTCCATTTTTCTTATTATACGAGGAAAAGAAAGAAGTTTATGAATATGACACTCACTCGCAATCCACTGCACCGACCCAGGATTGATAATAGCACAAGAGAATGGCGAAGATAATTAAAGACCGCTGCACAAACGTCTGTAAAGAAATTAAGATTACCTATGAATCTCTGCGTGCGACATGCAAAAAATTATGAAATTATTATAACAGGGAAACACTTGCAATTCCATTCTGCTCCAAATCTTTTAAATTCGTTTATTAATAAATTCCCAAGTTATTAATTACTCCCTTAAAAGGTCAGAGTGTTCGCGCCAGTACGTAAGGATAATCAAGAATGTCGAAGGAAGAATGTCGAAGGAAGAATGATTCGTGCGAAGTTATCGACAAAATTTTAATGAACTCGTAACGAGTTTGCAGCGTAAAGTACGGCAATCAGTGCTAAGCCGATTTAGATCGACGCAGCCAAATTGACATTGTTGAAGCGTTCTTCCTGGAAGCAGAATCAGAAGCAGAACGGATCGTCCGCTGATGAAATATAATTGATTTCACAGGACATGAAAAAGTATATCCTTACAAGAAAACAGAACGGACTCGTCTTAACGAATAACGATAGAAAGGTCAAAGTTCATTTGCTGGAACTTCATGACAGAACGGCGGATAACAACCAACATTCTTTCTGGCGATTTAGTGCGAAATCGATATTCGCGCAGCTATTTATTTGTCGACATGGCGAAAATGACACAATAAACATGGCCATTCATGTCGGCCAATTTGCAGCGTCGTGTTATATTTCTCTCGGAGAATCTCTCGTTGTACGGCCGCAAAGGTTTGCCCACGCTTTCTGGACTTTATTCGATTTTCCGCTCGCGATTGTACCGACAAAGGGGAAAGGTCGGTCAGCGAAGTTGTCATGAATTTTGAAGGCATATGCCACCCTGTGTTCCATATTTCATGTACAAAGCTAGTCTAATTTTGAATTTCGTTTATCCAATTCCAACGTAAATCGGTCTAATATTTGCGCGATATCATATATTCAACAATATCGCGTTCAGTCACGTTTAGCGCTAAACAGCGCCGATGGCAAGCGTTTTGCTCGCGTTACGTAATAGAGTAACCGATGGACTTTGTTCGTTGCGTAAAGTTTGCGATCAAATCGGAAAATTATTTGATTGCAACTTAGCTTTAGGCGACGATGTAATCTATATTTATACAAGTTGTGACTTCGGGTCTCTTTTGTAACGAAGAGCTCTCGGATCTCTCTTGCAACAGAATCCTTATCACGAAGTATTTATAGATATCAAATAAGCTTTAAACAATCTCTGAATTCCGATTAAGAAACTCTCTGGTTAGAAAAATTCAGTGTAATTATAAAAATTCGTGAAACAACATTGCAGCTTTGTTAATTTAAGCTGAACTTCAACTTCACAAATTAAAGTGAAAGAAAGCTTTCAAAATTTTTTCTTAAAAAACTGAGCAAACAAAATCCTCATAATAGGAGTGTATAAAAAAATTTTTTTTTTAATAATATGAATTATTATTTTATTATACTTTTTTTAAATTTTACGAAGAAAGCTTCTCGGCTAACGACGCTCAGAGAGAAAAATATAATAGTGAATTCTATAATAAAAATAAAAGGATGCAACGGGACTTTTTTTGTACAAAAATGTTTTACCGCTTTTTTATTTTAATACACCGTCTTTTCCATGGTTGGTCGAATCCCCCCGTTATTGTCGGTCTTTGGCGATTGAACGAAGTTGAACGCACCGATCACGTAACACACATATCGTAAAGAGTCGTCTCGTAAGACCATTTTTAGAATACAAAAATGAATTTCCCTCGTTCTTGGGGAACCTTTTAAAAGATTATTTCTCGATACTCGTTTATAATCGATCAATAAATAAATAGATTGTATCTCGCGAGCAGCATGTATTAATTTTACTCTTTTTCTCTTTCTTCTTTTCTCCTTCTATCTCATGAACTTCTGCTAATCTTACAATGGATTATCTCGAGCGTGAATTTTTTCTCTTCGTTATGAATCGACGTACATTTATACAACACGCGAAGCTACTTCCTTTTCTGTGTTAATTTGAAAAAAATGATTCTTCGATACACAGTAAAAAGATTTTGATAATTAAACTTTGCGTATATTTTTTAAATTGAGTTAATAGTAAATGTGAAAAAACATTCCATAATTCTGCATATTCAACAAATGCGAAATAAAAAGCAAAAAAAAATAAAGATTAAGGTCCGTTAGAATGTTTCCATGTCGAAGAAACCATTAATAAACTCATTCGAAACCGTATGCGAATATGCAATTAGATACTGTGACGGTAATTAAATCATTTCCAATTGCGTACTTCCCTAGAAATTTTAGACTTTCTTCTCTTATTTTGCTGTAACATATTTTAATTTCATTACCTATTGATATTCGTTTTTCTTCCTCTGTTCCGTATTTTCAGATCAGCTGCTCTATCAGTCAGTTCTTTTCACGCAATTTTATAGTACTGCTTTTCAGAGAAATACAATTATCTGAGCAAAGTAAAAGAGAATCCAGCAATTACACAAAGTATGCTTCAGCTGGAATTATATAAGACGCGTTAACAGAAAATGTCAAGCTTCATTAAAAAAGTGTAAGGAATTGTTTCTAACGCAACCGAACTTTTTTTTTCTTCCCTCTAAAATTACAATTATCTAATTAAAGTAACTTTGATTAAATACATCTAACTCTGATCGACCATTATTCAAGCTGATTGTAATTGATGAATAGTATTTTATATCTCTTTGCTTCATATAGAAGGGTATAAGCATCATGTTTGGAAAACCTCCTGCTTATTGTTATCATGCGAGAAGTTTCATTGTATAATAACAATTTAGCACGAATGGTTATTCTGATAACCAAGATAATTCTTAACGATGCCTCCAGGTATGTTCTCTTGGATGCCTTTTACCGCTTAAAACAATAAAAATACTACGCGACAAAGAAGATATTAAATGTTCATACAAAAAGATTCTTGATAAATTGAAGAAAGCTGCGATAGAACAGCAAATGCAGAAAATGTTATTTCTTTTTTCGACGAAGTTTTTTTATTTTTTTATTTTTTTTCAATTCCTTATCTATTGACTAAAATATTTCTAATAATCACTGTTGAATGAAAATCGACTGAGAAATGTTCAACATAAATAAACGAAGATCATATTCGGTAAAAACAAGTTTTGATGCCTATAATATTTTTATTTATAATATTATTAATAATATTTATTTGCTGACATAATTTTTGGTAAATTGTAAAAATTTTTCAATAATCTCTTCTTATATTTATCTTATTATTATTAAATAATATATGGGGAATATTGTGTCTAAAAACAACGTTCATTCATATTTCATGATTTGATCTACGTAGGTATGAAATATATCATTTATATTCGCGTATTATAAAATTTATCAAAGAGATCACTCTCTGAGTGAGAGTAAACAGTACCGACAATGGGACACAGACGATAATAATGTCGCACACAACCGATTTTAGTTAATTGGTGATCATCGTAATTGCGGAAATCATGCAAATGGATTACTACTCGTTTAATAAGGTTCGGTTCCCGTAACTCGAGAATCGATTCGATTACACGTAATATCTCGAACATCGAAGATCATCTTTTCACTTAAGAAAATCGAAATTCCCAATAAAATTACAATAAAGAAATTAAATATATTATTTTTTTATTATATCATGATATAAAAATCGTTAACTTTACAAAACAAATTTAGAGAAAGTGTATAAACCATAGTTAATTAATTTTGATGAAGTTCTACCGTCTGTATTATTTTGAATATATCCGAATGATTCAAAGCGAAATACGGATTGCGGATAATCCAGTTGTCAAAAGCAAGTTTCATGAATGTATTGTTAACTCAATTAGAAAACGACGTTTGTCATAGGATAACACAGTCTGTAAGAACGTCGCGTTATTAGGTCCTTCAAATAAAGTCACGTAAACGAAGATAAACGTGAATTAACGCGATGTAATCACGATATTTGCGATACTTCTGCCTTGAGGATGATATTCATTATTACACAACATGTTGTGCGTGGACAATCTTAATTCGCATTCGTCTTCGTTTGAGATGGCACGATGCCGACCACTCATCCTTATTAATCTGGTTACACAGGACGTGATCTCATTTTTGAAAACAGCGCAGACTTAATTCCCGCACTCTTGTTTAGCTTGTTAGCGAAATATTTTGCTGCCACGCAGAAATCACGTGGGATGATCTCGTCAGATTTGGAATATTTGTTCTTTGTCAAAAGGTCACAATGGACACGTGGTACATGGATATCTTTCAATCACTGACGAATAATTTAATGTTCGTTATTCGTCCAAGCGACAATTATCGAATCGGGCGGAAATACGATCGTAAACTAGTAATGATTTCGGCAATATAATCATCGTATGAAAGCTGGCGTTTAGATTTAAGTTTCAATGATACTGTTATCAATTTATAAAAAAATATAATAGTATATTCGCTAAAATTACAACCTTCTTCTGCTATTAATTTCTTTTCTTCACGTATATTTTCCTAGTTCTTGTATCAAGTAATAAATTGTTACATCTATCGCGCCTGACTCGCTTTTTATATTTTAAAAAATTGTTACAAAATCAAACATGTAAAACCGCGACCTAAAGAGAAGCGACCTAAATATAAAAGATATTGGTAAATAATTAACATTATTATGTTTTCCATCTCATCGCATCATATTAATAATATGGCACGATAATTTCGAAATGAGCAGCACTTGAAAAAGCTTAATATAAATTCGGTCCTATACAAATTCATTAAGCTATCATTTAATTAAGTACTATCGAAAGTCAGTCTGATTAGGTACACCGTAAACAGTATCATATACAACAATTTGCATGCAGGATTCAAATGAATTGTAAACAATAATGCATATATTTGGAAATGAATAATTCAACGAATAATCAAATATGACATTAAGATAGACCAAATATTGTCGTCATATTTAGAGATTTTAAGAGGATTTATTTAGACACATTTAAATGCATTCGCATTTAAATTTGACATTCTACAGAGGGACAAAAATTTCTTTTTGATATTTAGACTTATCATTATAATCAAT